CGCTCCTGCAATGCGAAGAAGACGGCACAGAATGCATGCCAGCGTGCGCCAGGCACGCTTCTATGAATGCCAAAGCAGGCTAACTTCAGAGCATGAGCTGATATTCATATCATTATGCTTGTTAAGGGTGTCCATCGACGCTCGCGCCTGCAAGTCTCGCGCCCGCGCTTTGGCCTCCTCCAGGCCGCGGTTCACATCCTCGGTGCAGGCCGCGCTCTGCACCGAGCAAGGCGGTGAAGGGAGTTCAAGGTTGGGACCTGTGGAATTGGAAACCTCGAATCCACAAAAAAATGTCCTGCCCACTTTCAGTTTGAAGCAAAACCTGCGCCGGCAGCTTTCAAATGGAGTTTGGCGCGACGTCACCGCTTCAGACATGCGCAGGTGCGCAATTGGAGGTGTTCTCCTTGTCGCGCGCATGCTTAAAGCTGGCCAAAGCCCATGCCAGTGACCCTCCAACCAAAACGCTAGTTCCGTGCCACGTGTTTTATTAGTGTTGCAGACAAATGAGTTCCCACTTCCCAATTGTTTTCGGGGCTCACCGGCCCAGCGTTTTTCGTGGGGAACAACCAAACAAAAAGGGCAAAGAGGACTGCACGAATCTTCCGAGCCGGCCTGGTCAATTTGCTGGATGTCGTCTCCCACGGCCCTGAGCACCTAGGAAAGCCAGTCGATTCAATTGATGTTGCCCAAAGAAACATGGATATGCAAGGATCCCACGGTGAGTCCAAGAAGCCAGAGAAAGCAAAGCTGCAAAGCAAAATGTCGGTGACGAGAAACCGACTGAAATTCCGCCCGCCTGTTGCCGGAGAAGCACTTCCTCCACAATGCCCTTCTGAATCTCTGCCTTCGCCTGCGCGTATTGTTATTCAGAGAAAAAGGACGGCGAGTGAAGACTGTCTTCGAATTTCCCGCTCCTCTCACCGGGTCCATGAAAACCATCCTGAAAAATCCACAGAATGAAGGTGTAAAGAAAAACCACCCCTAAGACCTCCATAAGGGCCTTCTTGTGAACTTGGTTAAGCTGCCACAACACTGGACCGCTCACAACTCCATACCTCACTCACTGATACCTTGGCGAAGGGTCTGAACAAAAAAGAAATGCAGTGCACAAAACCCATTCACTTTAGGTGCTACTGATGCTCAGATAGATTCACTGAGACCCAGCCTTGCTGAGCTCCTCATGCACGGCCCCGAGCTCCTTCATCAGCTCCTGCCTCGGAACATGTCCGCCTGTGTGGAAAACTGGCGGTTCCTCACAAAGCTCCAAGAGGCGCATGACCCAAAGCCCGGTCTTCAGGACATGCACGGAAGAGGGCCCAAATCCCAGGTGCCTCCGTGTGACCGTCACCAGAAGTTCATGCGGCTGGTGCCCCACGTCTGTTTGAAGTTTTTTCGGGGGCCAGCGTTTGCACTTGGACGGAGTCCCCAAAAAAAGTCACTCTCCAAGTCCCGCACTTCATCTCCAGCGAGCAGCGCTGCGTTTCCTCCTGAGAGACCGGGGACTGTGAGACTCCGTCCCTTTTGCGTTCCTTAGGGAAACCAAAGGACCCTCAAGGGATACATCCAAACAAGCTTTATCAGGGCATTCGGCGGTGATCTTTGAACTGCCCCTTATCCGGTGACCCCTACATGGATCTGTTCTAACACGTGGATTCCGTTTGGACGGGGGAATTTCTGGGAGTCGAACCAGCAGCGTGTAGCGCTGCTGGCGGGCGGCGGCCCGGCGCTGCGACAGCAGCTGCTCCTAGGCACAGCTAGCATGGGACAACCTTTTTTGCTCCAAGAGCTTTGGCCCTTCAAAAAGTTGGGAGGTTGGGGGGGGGGGGGGGTTGGGGGGTTTTGAGGGGGGCCTGGGGTTGGGGGAGGTTGGGCGGGAGGGGGTCTTCTTCTGACGTGCAGGACTCACGTGCACTTCATGGCATTCAGTGGACCAGAGGCTTGCTGGCAAGGTGCTTATAAGCACATGGCTCTCGCTTGGTTATTGGTTGTTGCTCGGTTGCGCTGCCGGCTTTACCGATGATGGCAGGTGCGGTTCCTCTAGACATGGACGGCTTTAGATGTCAAGACTCTCCAACTGGTTGCCCCAGAGTGCAATGCAGGCGGGAAGCCATCTTGTGACTGTCTGATGCGACGATACATTCGGATTACCCCAAACACTCAAGGTTGGCATTAATTTTGGCCTCATTAAAAAGGAGCTAAACTCTGTCCTGCTGCTGCAGCGCCGCCTCTTCGCACGCCTGTGTTCGTGGTGCGCTACGAAAGCTTGACCCCTCAAATGCTTGGCAAATTTGATGAAGGGTGTTTTGCAGGGCTTGTCCGCCAATGAAACGAGGATCAAGGGGCTCATGTTGCCGATTGCCCTTGTGCAACCCCCTTCACCTGCACTTCGTCGATCTGCAGAGATATCTCCTTCAGCTTCTTCGCCTCCTGACCAGCCAGCCGCTCCGGGCTAGGCCCAGCGTCAAAAGGGAACCAGCGAATTCAGCAGCAATGAATGCAA